GCTTTACCCGCATTTATATCCCATCCCCACAACAACTTTATGAGACAGGTCCTAATCACCTCCATATTATAGAAGAGGAAACTAGCCCAGGGGGTTGACAGGACTGGCCCACGTCACCTAGCTAGGAGGGCGGCACCAGAATTTGAATCCAGGTCGTTGGACAGCGAAAACTCCTCGGCGGCACCAGCCCCCGCGTTGTTTAGTCCGCGGACCAGCGTCCGGGGAACCCGAGGCCCTGCCCGGCCCGAGCGCCGGCCCGGCTGTGGCCTCCCCGGGGGCGCCCTCACCTTGGGAACCAGCTGCCCCGCTGCGCCCGCATCTCCCGGCTCGGGGCCGCCCCGCTCAGCCCCGCCGGGTCCCCGCGGCTGCTCGACATCGCCAGTGGCCCCCATGGCGCCCCCGCCACCGCAACCTCAGTCCGACTCCGTCACCGGCTGGGAAGGGGCCCCGTGACGTCACAGAAGCGCTCAATTCGCGGACCCGGAAGCGCGACGCGGCGCGCTAAGGAGTTACCCTGGGAACCAAACTCCCACATCTCGCGGGGTTCTCGGACTCCCGGAGATGTGTGTGGGGGTGGTTGGGGCTTCCTCTCTGGACCGGTGGCACCTCGGGTGTGGACTGGGGGTGTTCAGTCAAGGATTGTTCTCCGGCTGGTCGGAGGCCGGTGCAGAAATGCAGGGCTGGATGAGGGGAACAGGTTTTCATGGGCTGGGTTGGGGAGCAGAGGGCAGTTTCTTATCGCGGCTCCAGACGTTCAGTCTTTGAAAACTGTAGATTTTAAAATTACCGTTTCCCGGCCCACATAATTGGACTGGGCCTCTTGCGGGGACCCAGAAACCCAACAAGATGGGTCTGACCCGAGCCATCCAAGAATACACCCACCGGCTCTCTCCAGGCCTTGTCTCCAGGGGCCTCTTGCATCTGAGGCATCAGCATCAAGGTGGATCTCAGACCGTGGACGTCCCCAGCCCCGGGGAACTGGGCTTCTCTCCCTAGATGGGTGATTCTGGTGTGGGCTGGGGATGCAGGGACTTAACAGCTGTGGAGTACCTCAGACTCCCCATGGCTCAGCCTTAGAAGTGAGATGTCCCCGAATAGAATTAAATCCATTTATGGGTGGTAGAGAAAGTTGCTTTTACCAGGTCATAATATGGGGTAGGAAAAAGTGCATAAATTTTGCAGTTCGAAAGACAGCTCAAATCCAGTCTGATACGGTGACTTAGAACATTGACTCTGGAAGTGGACTGCCTGCCTTTGTTTAACTGCTTATTGTGTGACCTACGTTTCTGTGCCTCAGTTTCCCCATCTGTAGAATGGGGGATACCTAACTCACAAGGTTATAGTGAGGATTGAGTTAAATCCTGTGAAGCACTTAGAACTGTGGCACAAGTAAATGCCCAAAACAATGCTATCTGTTGTTACTATTCCAACAGCCATCACTTACTAGCTTTATGAGTTTGGGCATTTTTTCTCAGCCCCTCTGAACTCTTTCTTACCTCTGCAAGGTTATTGTGAGGATTAAAATAAATAATGTATCTAAAGCACATACTAGATAATCAACAAATAGTCATTATCTCCACGTTCCAATATCAGCCTTAAAACAATAAAACAACTTTGTGGCATCAAGCTCTTCCGTCCTCTTAAGGAGGTTTTTACCTTGGGCCTTTCATGTCCTCTGCCTTTTAGCCTCACTGGGCTAAGCAGTATCAGTGAGCACCACTAGGTATTATGGCTGACCAAAGTCATAAGCAGGACAGATTGAAAAATAAAAAGAAGTAGAGGAAGAGGAGATAAAGAAAAAGGGGGTATATATGGTCTAGACTGACTGAGTTATGGCAGCTCTTCTTTTGGATCCTGTCAACTAGCCTTCGTACAGTCCAAGCTGTAGGTTTTTGCTGCATTTGTATTTGTTCTGAACAAACTCAAATACAGTTTCACTGTAGCTTTCTGAGGATTTCTAAGTAGTCTGTTCCATTCTCTGCTTCCTAGGTCACTAGGATGAGCTGGAGCCACAGTGCATTTCATTAGCCTTGATTCTTTTGGTCCTTCCCTCTTTCATGTCAGCTGTGTTCCTCCAAAGTCTTTTGATCCTTTATTTGAGGGCCACCCTTCCATTTTCCTAGCTACCCACTCTGTTCTTCTTTGGTGTTGTGTATATTGCATTAGAGTTTGATCACCACCATCATATGCGTCCTTTGTTGGTGTTAAAAAGAAACATCATAGGCCCATAATGGAGTCACTTAAATTTAGGACCCCCATATCAGTCAGTCAAGATTTAACATCTAACCCTAACTGTAGTTTCAACACCTTCAGGGATGTAACCTTTAACCAGCCAAACTGGAACCTTCTGGCAGTAATCCCCTTGGGGAGCCTTTCCCCTTAGGGGGACAACCTTGCCTAAACAGTGAATTCCTTGCTAATAAATTCTTTCACATGCTCTCTCTCTCTATGCCTTTATAGGCAAGAACTCTTTAGCTTGCCAGAGTTCCCTTCTGTTTGCTAGAAGGATTGCTACTGAGTCATGAATCATTTTAATAAAGCCAATTAGATCTTTAAATTTACAAGATTGAATTTTGTTTTTAACAGTAGTGCCAGGAATTTTCGCACACACCAGCTTGTCAGGAGAGCTTCCCAATCACTCTTCTTGTCAGGAGACTTCCTTGGGGAATATTGTGAAAGGGAAGATGGGTTGAGTTTGCACCTCTCTCCTTGTCCTGCCCTTCCCTTGGTTGGTATAGTGGGCAAGGTGTACATCTCTGGCTGGAGAGGGGCTCTCATTACAACTTACAGCATTGTCATTTTGTTGAACTGTCTCTAATACCTGAAGGCCCTTCTTGCTCTTAGGTCCCTGACATCCTGGGCATCTCCAGGAGAGTATGGTGAGCTATCAGTTGGGATCCCTGGCTAACTAACAGAAAGTGACTAGAGAAGAAGTCACCCCCTGCCTCTTTCCAGAGCCAGGGGCCTCATTTATGGAGATGATCATTTGTGTAGGACACGATGTAGATTCTTGCAACAGCCAGGGTAGGTCTTCTTGGCTTTCTTTAACCTCTCTGGACATGGAGATATAACTTCCAGACTTCCAGCCCGTCATAGTAGAGGTTCTAGTTTTCCCCTAGAGCTCCTTAAATGAGAACAGGATCACCCTAAACTTTCTCTATCAGCAGAATGGCTGGATATTTAGTAGTGGTGGGCATGTTAGTGGTTGTGTAGGGGGAGGGGAAAGTAGTTGCAGAGATATTTTGGAGAGGCTCAAAGTCCTTGAAGTGCCCTTGGCTTCCATTCCCCATTTCTATAACTAGCCAGTTACCCCAACCTTGCGTGCTGTCTTTTGCGGTGAGAGAAGGAGAATGCCGTCTGGGTTGTGAAGTGCTATGCCAGAGGGGTGAATGAATCGTGTCTGCCTGGACAGAAATGCTGCCCCAGACT